TTTCGCAGTAATTAATACACTTACCCTGCACATAAAGAGTAAATTTTAATTTTGTTATATATATTCTTTTTCTTTATAGTTATAACTAATACTTTCGTATGTGTGTAAAAAAATTTTGAATTCTATTAAAAATGTTTTCCTTCGTTAAAATATTTTTCTCTAACGCAGCGATACTTTTTAAGAACATTTCATAGTTACCATTCTTTAAAAAATCAATTTTTTATTTCTGTTGCTGAGAAATAAAAAATTATAATTATTGCCAATTTTTAACAGAATTGTTTAAAACACTGCTTTAATTTTTCTTTATGTATGCCATTTTAAATGAGACAGAAATTACAAAACCAGATAATCAGATGCAGGTTTAAAATATTTAATATAATGAATAATCTTTCGACAGAAGGGAAATTTCAACTTTAAAATGCAATAAAAAATAAATATTCTTAACTTTTTAGTCATTTTTTTAATAATGAAGGAAAAACGAAAATCGACTTTTTAAAACAGTATCATTTGAAAGTTATGTTAATAACGTCATGTAATTAATTTTGTATAAAAAATAAAGCCGAAAAATTGCAAAGTTTATGAAATAGAGAATCAAAATTCAACTCCTGTCCACATTATCAATCTATAGATTAAAACTTGATAATTGTTTTGTTTCCTATGCCACAATAGAAACATTGAAACCTATTAATACAATATAAAGTTATTATTGAAAGTTCACATAAACATTAGAAACTAATATTTTGCTCAAAGAAAGGCAGGATTTATATAAAACTTTACGCTTCAGTGCTTCATGATTCAGCGGATATTCGTATTTTAATATTTTAAGTATATTTTAACTACTCAATATTGTACAAAGTTTCCATTTAAATTATTAAAATGCAAAATAATTGTTGAAACTGTAAAGTGGAAGAAATAAGAAATATTTTTTCTTTATTTTTATTTTTAATCAATTTCATTTGCTTTTTGAAAAAAGTGAAGAAAAAAAGATACATTATTTATTAGAAAATAAAATTATGCAAATTTTTGGCACTAAACTGGTTGCTTCATACAATAATTAAGTCTTAAATTTAATTAAATAAATATTAGTTAAAATGATTAAAAGGCAAGATTGGATTATTTGTGTTCTGTTATAATAATTAAAAACTATCTATATAGCAATTATGAATGACGTAACCGACAAATTTAAAATCTACATTTAAAGAATTTCGTGTCAAGTGACTGATGTTCAAAAATAAATTGGGTTCAAATTTGTACAATATTTCTAATATTTCTAACGATAGACCTTCAACCCTATAATAGAATAAATTTTGGAGTGACGTAAGTTTTCCGAAAAATTAGAAATAAAATTTCATTTTCACAGGAGTTTTAAAACTTAATTCTCAAGATGGACATAAATTAACAAAAATAGATATTTCTGTCCATAGTGAAAATTATAAATTTCAAAATCATTTCGTTCACATATTAGGAATAAATTTGTTTTTGTTCAAAAATTGAAAGCTAAATTATAAACTCGGATTTTCTGCCTTTTTTTCGTAAAAATCGATGTAATGTTGAATACTTAACTGTAAATTGCTCAAATTTGAGGATATTTTATTTTTCGATTTAGATCACTTATTCACTTGACATGATATCTCTAATAGAATGTGCTTTTTCTAACTACAGTTTTTTTTATGAATTTAAAAATTATAAATATCTTAATATTGAATTTCATGTCAGTATTATTTCGATGAATGCAAAACGAATAACTGCATTAAATGAACAAGAAACAAATAAATAATTTTTTTTAATTGATCAAATTATTTTATTATTCGACATCCAAATTAAAATTTTATTAGGGTTTTTTAAAAAAATTTTTAATTACATTTTGAGAAGAGAGAATATCACATTTAATAGCATTATTATAATTTGAAGAATATTCTGTTAAAAAAATAAAAATATCCCTCTTTGGACAATATTGGTTTATTTATTCTCAAAGATTATTATGAATTTAAAGAAAGGTAAGTAATCAACTTTTCTCAAAAATCACTATAGATATTAAAATTTAATTTGACCTCGAGTAGTCAGTTTCGGCATAATTGCATAATATTTCAACTTTTTAGCAAGAATATATTCAATAATCAGATTCACAGGTGTGACCCACATTTTATTTGCTTCTTGTTTATTATAATATTGCTGTTTATCATCTTAATTAACGAAATATGTACTGAAAAAAATTTCTTTCTTTCAATAAACTACTTGTCAATATTTGATTTAAATAATTTTTGCTTAAGTGGAGGGTTCGGCTACATTTTTAACTACATCAAGAAAATTATTTAAACCTTTTATAAAATTATTTTTATGGTAATTTTTTGAGAAGAATTTAATGGTCAGAAAATATTTTGACTCTTTTTAAATTTTTATTTTTCTTCAAAATTGGTAGTTTTTAAAATCCATTCATAATTTTGTAGAAAATATGTTTTTGTGTCCAGAAAAGAATTGCGAAATGAAAAAATGGATTCTAACTATTTTTGAAGCATTTCTTTTTGTGAAAAACATTATTTTTAGGTTGAAAATGCTAAAAAATATCATTGTTATTTAATTTTTTTTTTATTTCAAAATTCATTTGTTTATTTTTTAAACTAATTTCAAATCATAATTTTTTCATAATTTTTTATATTTTTATATTTTTTATGTTAAAAAATTAGAATTTGAAATTAGTTAGAAAAATAAACAAATAAATTTCCATATAAAAGAATTGAATAACTATAGAATTTTTTTCCAACTATTTTCAACCTAAAAACAATGTTTTTTTTAAAAAAAGCTTTAAAAATATTAAAAAATCAATTTTTGCGTTTGGTAAGTTTCTTGTGGAAACAAAAACATGTTTTTTTAGAAAATTGCGGATGGATTTTAAAATCTCTCAATTTTTAAGAAAAATAAAAATTCAAAAAAGGGCAAAATATTTTTTGACCATTGAATTCCTCTAAAAAAATTACTATAAAAATAATTTTATGGAACATTTAAATCATTTTCTTGATATAGTTAAAAATGAAGCCGAATTCTCCCCTTAAGTCAATTAAATGTTATTTTTTTCAATTTCTGAAATTATTGGTTCAAATACAATTTATTTGATGTAAATCAAAATTATTTGATAAATGAGGCTCTGGATCTTAAAAGGGCACTTTCAGCATTGATTTTAAATGGTAAAAGAGCCTTTTTAAGATCCGGAGCCTCAAATATCTATATTTGATATTTGTTTCAAACTCGAAAAAAAATTCATAACTTTTTCTCAATGTTTTTTTCTTTTATTTTGATATTTTTAAAAGATCGAAAAAAAATTCAGTGAGTCATTTTGAGTGAATCCAGAATTTTTTTTGATAAAGACAACAAAAACAATATTTTCTTCTCTTTTCTCTTACCAAAGAACTAACACATAAAAACTTTTAAAGTGAAAGGAATTTAAGCACTTTAAGAGTTATAATCTTAACAATTGTCATAGAGATCAATCTCCCGAAGGAAACTATATTTTTGTATTTTATTATTTATAAAAGTCTTTTATTATTTTGTTTTACCTTATTAAATACTTTTTAGAGCTTCTCACAATCAATCGTGTAACTAGCAATAAAATTTTTAAAATGCAGGCTAAATTTTATATTCTATGTTATTAGAAATATAATATTAATAAAATTTTCTAGTATTTATGCTTTTTCTAAACATTGGGACGAAAACGTACAGTTTATAATTTTGAGGCGATTCTACAAACATGTGTCAATTGACTTTTTGATGAAACTTTTTTGGAAATAATTATAAATACACCCATTTTCGGAATTATTCCCTTATTAATTCAGGTTTCTATTAACTTTTAAAAATGTTCACAAGGCTTTGAAAGATTTACTGCACTGTAGCCATTATTAAGCATAACCCAGATAAAAGGGAAGTTTACGATTGGGTACGGTTAGAGTTTCACGCAAAGTTCACAAGTTTGCATGAAAAACTTACCGCGAGGTAATGTTTATGGAAATAAATGAAAATAAATTAAAATAAATGCCTTGAAAAGAAGTCTTCTCCCCCCGATAAAATTTTAGATAAATTTTCATTTTTAGAAACATGTTTTAAAAATATGGCTTATTTGTAGAGAAGAAAACACATCTTTTTCTATCGACAACTTTTTTCACAATAAATTACATATTACATCAAGGATATCCAATCACTCTCTCCTTTTATGATTTTAACCTCGTTTCATACTGACCACATGCTCCATATTATTCTACGGCTATTATTCTTCTAAAAGATTTTATTTCATTTTCTTTCAATTCTCTTTCAAATTTCCTTTTAGAACCCATCCAAAAGACAATTTTTAACTTTTAATATTATATCTAAAAGTTAAAATTTTTATATTTTAGGATTGGAAGAGGTTCTGAAACTTGAATTTTTAATTTTTTTTTCATTTTCATTTGTAAATGTAAATTCATTTGTAAATTGTTCCAGAATTTTAAGAAAAATTTTAAGGATTAATTTCTTTGAAAATAGTATCCGTTAAACGCTCTTTATATAAAGAGACTTTTTATTAAAATGTTTTTATAAGAAAATTTCTTCCTCTATTAATTAATTGAAGAAATAGAAGTTTTTTTCACAAATTAGGTCATTAATCCATAATATATTTAATATTCAAGACTCTAATATTATCGAAAAGTGTGAAAAAAGTTGTCGCGAATTGACTAGAATTTCTAAAATTTAAACTATCAATTATAGAAATGACTAATAATTTTTCCTATTATTGACATTGCGTTTATGTTATATATTTGACAACAACTTATGTAAAATTTACTATATCTGGGGCGTATATTTTATCTGTGAATTATTACAATTTTTCAATATTTCCTGAAATGTAAACAAAAAATAAGTAAACTATAATTAAAAAATAATACAGTAATGGTAATGTAAATAAGAAGTAAAATAAAAGACGAAATGTAATTAATAAAATTATAAAATTTATTTTATTACAAAATGATTTTTGTTTTAAATAGCGGATGTTCGTGATATTAAAACATTCTTAGATTATTGAATTACTTTATCATGCTTGTGAATGAGAGTTGAAAAACAGCCAAAATAGATGCGTATTCTATTCTTCAACGTATAAATTATATATTTACAGAGACTGTTTTCATATATCAATAAACATAGAATGCTTTTTTCGTGTTTAGTTATATTACAGTTAAAACAAAATAAGAAATGAAATAATAAAAGAAATGTTTAAATATTTTAAAAATGTCTTCTTATAAAGTAAAAATATTTGTATGATTACGTAAAAACAAAAAAAGAGAATGAGATATAAGAGTGAAAGAGAATACTTTTTGGAACATTTTATGCTAATTATAAGTTTTCTATAATTACATCCCTAAATATAAATTTCTAGATTTATGAAAAAGTACTCATCCATTTTGATAGTCACCATTTTACATCGGTAAAAATTACTAATGGAATCTGTACGTTTTCATTATAGTAGAAATTTTCTTATTCTGATTTGGAGATATAGAAATTTTTTTCTTTTATTTTTCCTTTCCTCGAAACCCATTTTTTTTCTTTTTTGAAATTGGATAAGAAAAATATGGTTTATCTGTATGTAACATCTTATATATATTAAAAATATTAAAGCTTATAAATGGGTTCGTTTATTATACAATATATGCACTTTCTATATTATTAGCTTACGAGTAAAAGTGAACTATTTATAATTTTATAATTCACTGCCATGAAGCAGAATAGTTTTCTTTAAAAACTGACTTTCTTTGTTATTTTCATTTTTGCCAATTTTAAATTTGGCACAAAATTTAAATTAGTTGCTAAGCGAGAACGAAAATTGTTTCCGAAAAGCTTTTTCATTCGCTTTAATTTAAAATGCTTATTTTAACGATGATGCCGAATAGATTCGAAAATTTGTTGAAAAGATTTAGTAAATATGGTACATGTGAACTAAAGTCTTGAGAATTTTACACTACTTGAGTACATGGTGCGTGGCATACTAACACTGGGCTTAATAATACAATCATATTGTTACTTTCGTAACCATGCAGTTTTCTTATGTTTGAGCGAAATTAATCTTGCCTCGAGTACAAGGCAGATTATTACATACGCATTCAGGTAACTAATTAATGATCGTTGCGTGATTATTGAAACACTATTTTAGAAAATCATCATTTGCTCAATTAACTATCACCACTTGATTTTAACCAAGTTTTGTAAATTTTACTTAAAATCATTGACCTTAATGAAATACACAACATTATTTTTTAACCTCCAAAGCCATAGTTTTGAAACTCTTTTTTAATTTACTCAAAACATTCAAATAAATCTTTAAGAAGAAGAAGAAAATGTGTCCTCTATGTTTAAATTATTTTTAAAGAGTAAATAAAACCACAAGAGTCATTTTCACTATCGATTGTTATGCGAAAATGACTCTTACGATTTTCAGAGTTGAGCTCATTTTCTTCTCCTCGTCGCGTCGATACAAAAAGGAAATATCAATTCCTACTTATTTGAAACCGGTGGCTATTGAAATGATGTGATACGAAGTAGGCAAACAATTTCTTTTTTCTGTGAATAACAGTGTGATAATCAGGCTACATCATTAGTTAGGCAATGTCATAAATTCTGCATAATTACTTGACAGAATCTAATTTTCGAAGTATGTGTACAAAAAATCACTTATTTTTTTGAGTATTTTTAACAGCGTTTGTCACTGTTATTTATTTAAGTATAGGTAGCGTTTATGCCTGAGCTGTGACGAGAGACAAATACTCGATATTTGTTTGAACGCACGGTAAAAAAAATACATAAGATCATAATTTATTCAACTACACGCTCTTTTTAAAAGTATTTACATATTTCAATTTTCAAGATTCGCATTCGAAGAACGAACATGCTTACAATAATAAAAATTATTGAATTAGTGCCATAAGTCTATAGGCTCTAATATCGTATTGACAACTGATTTATTGCTTAATTATTAACAATATTTATTTTACAATTCACACGTTGCATTTCTATTAAATGGAAAACATTCTCTTATCACACAAATAGTTCAGGCCAAGTGGAAACATATTTCAAATTTTTTCTTTCCTATTATATATGAATATGAATAGTATAAAAAATTTGGAGCATATTACTATGTACCATATTTTAGAGAACGTCATTGTAATTGCAAAATGCAAACCAAGGAAATTCATATTGTACGTGGATATTTACACATTAGTATAATGAACAAGCGGATTAGAACATTCGAGAAGAGAAAAATTTTCCTAATAATTTATTCATCGTTTGTCACTACGGAAAAACTTTTGTAATTAAGCAATTCCCATTGGCGCGAAATTATAAATCGTCAGTCATTTACACAAGAATTTCCATAGTATCTCTTACTTTTTTCATCTTTCACTTTTACAAATACAGAATTGAAAATAGTTTCCAAGTCTCGACATTACAAAGAAGAGAAAACAGTTAATTGTAAACTTGCACTCATTACATCATCAATTATATACATTTGACTTTATATAGTTTTTCGAAATAATGAAATTTCAAACACGTTCTTTTCAAATGTATTCTAATCAGCTTTCTAATAAAGAGAATACTGAATATCCGTTTAATTAAACTTGATTCACTACTGATACATCACATCGAAAAAAAGTGGACTCCTATTAATTCACCGTATTATACATTAATTCTTGTCTATATCATTATTTATTGACTTAAGAAAGTAAACGACTTTTGTGCTTCACATTGAAATTCCGTGTTAATTCAGTGCGACTTACTCGATTGTAAAAAATTATAAAAGAGTTTTCGTTTTTTATTTACATCGATGGTGATTTGAAAATCTTTTTTTTTTTTATTTATTTTATATTCAAATGTAATAATATATGAAATTTGAAGAATAAAGCTTGAGAAAATTTCAATTTAAAGCAGAATCGTCGACTACCCTCTTAAATACTATGCCAACACGTTGATTGAGTACAAATATTAGATTTTATATTTGAAAACAGTCTAATAATGCTTTGCTTTTTTTCATATTATTTATGTGCACGAATGAAAATGTATATTTTATAAAATATATGTACAATTTAGAATCGCGAAGTTGCTAACTAACAGAATGGTCTTGCACAACGTCTATTTAGTTGAAGAAGCCCATAGCTTTCAATATTCCTGTTTATTGACTTATTTTTTACAACGTTAGATTGTCAATACTGTTTTAGTATCTTTTAGAATCAACAACTGAACTGTAATAAAATATATTTCATATTTATTTTCATATTTAGTTTCTTGAAAACATACTCGAAATTTTTAATATTCGTGCGTCGTCAGGTCAAATTTTACAATATTTTCCTAATGGGCTTCTTTTCACCACTCTTGCTATATAAGATTATTTTCAATACACTATCGATATCTAAAGAACTTTGCTTTCTGATCTCTTCATTTGGTCTAATTTAACGTAAACAAATTGACAAAAAGACTATTGCACTTTTTAACCGAATGAATATGAAAAAAAGCTTCATAAATTGTGCAAATGTGGCCAAATTCTTTACAATGCGAAACAAATTTTTTTAATTAATTCAATTTTTCGTAGACATTTTAAATTTTAACTAAAATCAATTTAAAATTCTTAATTCAATTTTCTAAACGTTTGATACAAACATTTTTCAATTAAAATAATAAAATTAGAAATAAAATTAAAGAGAATAAAATACTTTTCAATATCTTTGCAAAAGTATGTAAAACTGAATGTCAACAAATTTCATTAAAATACTTTTAATCATTAAGAATGTAATCAAATATGTTAGTTCTATTAAAAATGTATCTAAATTAAAAAATGAGCAGTAACCTTAATTAAAGCTTTAAGAGTAATATAATTTAATGAGTGTAAAATAGAAATTATATTTGTAAAAAAAACGCTTGAAATAATAATTTAAACACAACAAGGTAGTAAGGAAAAATTACCACGTAATAAAATCCTGTTTTTTCCACAGACAGGTTGATAACAAAAAAAATTCATCCAAAGTTTAATAAGGTAAATAACGGTTTTTTTTTCTTAGAGAAAAACAAATATTGCACTTGAACGAACCAGAAGTAAATTAAAATTAAGAGATCATCTTCAATTTGAGCTATTAGTTTTTCCGTAATTGTTTTTCCGTATAAACTGAGAAAAACACGAAAGTTTATCTTTTTAAGTTTAAGATAGAATTGTCTTTCTTACATTAACAGTCAAGGACGAATTAGTTATGCTTGTGAAATGAGTTTAAAAAATTGAAGGGAAATTTCTTTGGGCAGCAATAAGCGCGAAGTTAGTGGTACCATTACTTTACAAAATTGTTTTCTTTTGATAATTTTGGCTAGTTTTATAAAAATTTGAAAAAACAGAAAATTTGCTATATTACTTACCGAAACTTGTTGAAGTGAGTTCCCGAGTATTCCCGAGTATTGAGTAAAATTCAACTATTTCAATGATGAATGATTCAATGACAAATCTACATGAAAAGTGTGAGATTCCATTCAGTCATTTTCAACTTGAGGAACGTGTGGAAACTCACTTGAAGAAGTTTGGAGATTAGAATTTCTCTCGAACATTCAATGTATCGGAGAGAGTTAATTTGTTTGACGAACGACTAGATTCTTAACCTTTTTACAAGTGACATTATTTCACGACCTTTAAGATCATTTTTAAGAAAATATGTGAAGTGAGACGATTGATTGAAATATTTAATGATATGAAGATACACATTGTGCTACACTTATTATACGCATAATAAGTGACTTGTAAAGACATTTCGCAAATTGGGAAATAAGCGAATTAATTATCTTGACGTAGAACGGAATGGTTGATCATTGATTCTAGGTGAAATCAATTCTCCTGTCTCATACGTGAGTCGCCAGTGTGGTCACTGCCGAAGAACGCTTCACAGTTGTGATGCCTCCATTCGATCCACCTGTGATGTAGTGTGCGGCCAGAGGAGGCTAAAACAAAACAATTTTATTTTCAATAAAAGTCCAATCTGGGGTCAATTTTTAAAAATTCAAAATGGCAGATACAATATGGCTGACTTATTTTTTAAAATTGATCAAATTCATTTGTCTTAAAATTTGTTACTCGGGGGTTTTTGGGGTCGTTGATTACAAATATGAAGTCAGATTTTTAAAATTCAAAATGGTGGAAGATTTTTTTAAAATCGAACAGATTCGCTTCAATTTTGTCACTCGGGGATTTTTGAAGTCGCTGAATACGAATCTGGAATCAGATTTTTTAAATTCAAAATGGCGGATCCAATATGGTGGAATTATTTTTTTAAATTGATCGAATTCATTTACAACTCGGGGGTTTATGGGGTTCCTGATTACAAATATCAAGTCAGTTTTTGAAAGCATGAAATGTCTGGTGCATTTTAGAAGACAAATTTTTCAAAATTCATTTGATTTAAATTAATCTTGGTAGCTGTGGAGTTTTTGGTATCACGCTGAAAATAGTCGATAATTGAGCCTCTCGCTTTGGCGTCATTCAGAGCTATAACCAAAAACCTTAAATAACAAGTTTCAAGCAATTACGATCATTTTTTTTAAACCGGTTGCCATTTTGAATTTTAAAAATCTGACTTCATATTTATAGTCGGCGAGCCCAAAAATCCTCGAGTAACAAGATTCAAGCAAATTCGATTAACATTTTAAAAATGATCGCCATATTGAGTCCGCCATTTTGAATTTTGAAAATATGAAAAATCCGTCTTCAGATTCTTAATCAGCGACCCTAAAAACCTCTAAAGTGCACTTGGTCATAAAATTCCTTGACCAGAAAAATGTATGCTTCAAAACGTTAATTTGAATAGTTTTTATTGTTTCTCAATAATTGACGATTTGTTAAATGTTAATGTATAATAGACATAATTTTCAATAATGAAAATTAACTTTATTATTTTTGAACAAAAACACAATGAACGCGTAAATTTATCCTTTTTGAGAGAATGACCCTTAAGTAATTTCTAAAGAAAGTGTTGGAATTTCTCTGAAAATCTATGCTTACCTCTCGCTTCCAGACTCTGAAACAGTTGAAGAGAATAAAATAATACTTTAGATTACTCTGGTTTGCGCAAAATCCTGCACTTATGCATTTCTGTTGTCTACGTGAAGAAAGGTGACAAGAAATATTCCCAAATATGTAAACTATATATACCATTTGAGTCATTTACGGTGTGATGAAGTATTTCTTTTTATTTAAGTTACAAAAGGTTGCTGTTTCTATATGAATTAGAGTTGATCGGTCCTGCCGCTTTGTGATAATAAAAGAAGTAGGACACGGACAAATCCAAGAAAGAAACCAGAACAGGATTCATGATTCATTGGAGAACTCCCAAAATGAAAGTGGTAACAATATCTTTAAGGAAGGGAGAGAAGCAAAGGATCTGTTGGGATCAAAACTTATAGCAAGAGCTTCGCGAAGAACCTCCTAAAACTCGATAAGATTAGAGTAAGAACCGTAGCTCGACTGCTCACTAGCACAAAATAAGTAGACAAGATTTGCCTGAGTTGAATCAAAGGACAAAAATAGGATTAAGCATTTGCCGTTTTACATTAATTTCATTCAGGTTGGTAGTCGCATTTATCATCACTCCTATTGAGTTGTCTTGTTAAAGGAGAGGAAAATTGTAGAAAAGCTTTCCTGAGTATAACCGATTTATCGACAGTTGATTTCCAATAGTGTATTTCCGGACATTAGTCGACAGTGCACATCACATTAACTGTAGTTGTGTAATTAGAAGTAGGTGCTAGGGAACAATTTACTGGGCTTGAGCCTCCAATTGGTGTTTCTGAGTTTCTGACAAATGCTTGGTCCTGGAATTCAACCAGTGGCTGACAGCAGAGCACCAAAGGGAATGGCAGGCCACTAGGGGCTGTAGGCAAGCTAAAATACTCATGGGAACTGACATAAATCCCAGAAGAAAAGCGGAATTCCGCAAATTTAATAGACAAGAGACAAAAGTCATAACAGGGCAGTTAACTGGTCATGGTGATTTACGCTATCATAGACATAACATGAGGATTGTGGGAGATCCTAAATGTCTCGTTATGGAAAGGATTGCGGATACAGCGGTAGCTATGTAGGGAACGCAAAGGAATTACTCATGCGTTAGTGGCTGTGATTTAATCTCTGTAGTAGCCCAATTTCTAAATAATAATTATCTTGATGTTTTTCTATGCAAGTTATTTTCGAATTTATACATTTCTTAGAATATAAATTACAACTCACCTGTGGACCAGCACCGTTTAATGTATTTAAACTATTCATCCTCATTGCTGAGGTGTATGGTGGAGGAGCTGGTGTGACTCCTGGTATGGCCGCATGTGGAGCATGCCTGAATTGCTCGGCAACTGGAGTCCTATTTACAACAAATTTAACAAGACTCTTATTAAAAAGTATTACAAATACACGTGTCAAGAAGACACAAATCCAACTGATCTACCAATCCAAATGGTCGACATTTCAAGTTAGAGAAAGAGTATCACAATTCGTCTTCAAGGAGAAAGTCTTTCTTTCGTTCATGAATCAAACATGCTTTCAGTTCCAAGGCGGCGATGATTGAGATATACACTTAAAAACTGTTGGAAGAACTGTTCGCTCATTTCACTCAAGTGCTGCGTCAAAAAGAAACGCACAGCTCACTTTATTTTTGGGAGAGAAACCCTCGTTTTTGATCGAGCTGTTGAAACATCTGTCAAGCAGCCGCTAACTCAACGTCATTGGTAGTCAAGTTTAGGAGAGCAACTCTTTTTTTAATAGAGCTGTGAGTTTAAACGTCTAGTAGCGCTGCACAACAGTCAAAAGCGCAACTGATCTATCAACAGTTTTTTCGTGTATGTCGCCCTGGAAAGCTGACTTACTAGTAAGTGAACAAAAAACTTGATTGTCGTGAAAAGATACATTTACATCATGCAATGCAATTAATAATTAATGTTTGAACAAAGTTGAGCAAATAAAATGTCAACCTTTTGGATTGGACTTATGTTGAGAGAAGTTTTCGAACATATTTATCTTTCATGTGTACATCTGGATCAACGTAAGTCTGATAGTTTCTAGTTTTTCTGAAAATCATGAAGATGAAGTTACCAACGTTTACATTGACGAAAAGGGAAATAAGAATGTTACGAATTATCAGTAATCCTATGCGGCACCAAAAGTTTTCTAAAAGTTTAAATAAACTTTGCTGCAACCTTTGGAATCTTTAGTTGCTTAAATTATTTTATTTAATTATTACTTGAAATAATTCTTTGAATGTCGACTGTCCAGAACCATCGACATAGGAACGTAGATTTCCCAAATTGAAAACGTAGAACCACTAAAAGAGAGTTCCTCAACTTTCAGACGATTGGGATTGCACGGCTCTCAACATTTTTTCAGTGTTGGATCTGAATTATCTGAATTATCTAAATATCTAGAAGAATTTTTCTTATCTACATGTTCTTTAATATTCTTATGTCTTTAACTTAATTTATTGCTTCTTCCGGTGATTTTTGCTAATCCATTAATTTTGATTATTTTGACTGAGAACATCATCTGAATAACACTTTGTTCCCCTCCCTATGGTTTGAGTCTGGGCTAGAGAGAGTCGGTAAATGTTGGTACAGGGATTTTTAATTGGAACTGGCTTTGCTACTCTATTATTTTATTAAAAATTTTCTTTGTTTTTTTTGTGTTGACGTAAACGTTGGTTACTTCAGTTTTATGAAAATCTATAAAAGTTAATTGCTACTTTTAGAAATAGCCTTTCTTATCTATTTTGTTTAAGATGTACAAATAATACTGCACTCATATTAGCATTCTGTTGACATGCAAACGAATAAAAGGAGGATGAAATTGAGTTTTTTTTTAAATCTTAATAGTATTGATATTTTTCTAAAAACTCATAAATAGATTCAGGCGGGTTTAATACCAAACATTCAACTTCCATAGTTTCTAAGTAAATGTTTAAAATACAACCTTTCAGCTTTGATCATTAAAAATACGTTAGTTTGAAAACATTTTTTGGTAATACATACATTCGATCATATGTAAATACAAAACTACAATGTTCCAATTAAGCAGAGAAAAGTTTTAAAATATTAAATAAAATTGCCTCTACTACTTTACACGATATAAAAGTTTAATTTTAAACTCAAGCAAAGAGTCCAACATTAAAAATAGTTTAAAATAGTTGAAGCGTTTAATTTTAGTAAAAATATATTGTTTTCAATTTTAAATTTTTCAGTAAAAATAACTACTCACCTTAGATAAGGATTGCCGTAGGCTGCAGAATAACGAGGATCAATTATTGTCGCTTGTGGTGAAGTCGATTCCAAATTAGTAGAACTGAATCCAATTTTTTTGGAACCCAAAATCCCACTTACAGGAATACGACTGAGAGATTCTCGAGAAGAACCTATTCCTTGAGTTGTCGGCGGCAAATAATCTCGCGTATAATCAACATACGGAACATAACCATTGTTATTGCTACCATCCTGAAAAATAAAAAATTGGCATTGAGCAAATATTTTTTTTTTCAAGTATTTAATTAATTTTTCGACTTTTGACGACGTTTTCAGCTTTTGTAACTACTGTGTATTTGGATCTCTTGGGGAGACGTGATTTATATTTCTATAACCTAACGATAAAAAGTAAGTACTGACAGGAGTTTACTCAGTGCACTCGAGTGTAGTAATACGTTGTTGGTTTAAAAAAATTTATTTAAAAAATAAAGGTTTTCATATGCCGGAAAATTGCAAATATGCAACCAAGTTGCTCAAGTTTTATTGGGGGAAAAGGCCTCCTTAATGTTGGCCATATTATCCATTGGGGAAAACATTTAACGATGGAAGTACCGGTGATAAAAGTCATCATAAAATGTTAACGTTTTGTCTCAAAACTTGGAATTTAAGAGATTTTCTTCTTGACATCACGGCTAAATTAACAATAGACTGAATGACATTTACAAATTTATTTATATTTTATTATTTAAAAACGTGTGCAACCTACAAATTACTTTTCAAATTCCCTAACTTTTCCAGGTTTTTTCAAGGTTTATACCTTTATAAAATTTTCTGACATTTCCAGGTTTCAAGGTTGCGTGGCAAAGCTGATTTTTCAAAAATTTATTGGGTTTGATTAAAATTTGTTTCTAGCAAATCCAATTGACTTTTTATTCTTTCGCCCACCATATTTAAACCGCCATTTTGAATTTTTAAAATCTGACATAAAATTCGTAAACAGTGATCTCGAGAACCATAGCATACCCATTGTCACAAATTTCGGTCTCTCCAAAATTTCTTAACCTTTTTGAGACCATTTTCAGGATTTAGGTCCTGAATACGTGTGCGGTATGAAAGTATTTTCTTGTAAACAGTCATGATTTTATAGGAAAAACATTGCAAATTATGTTTAAGAGGAATTAAAATACAATTTGCCAAGAGAAATGTATAATTAAATGTACTTACATTATTCTTAGGTGGAAAAGTAGGCTCAGTGTAGTCGGCACTGTAGCGGTAATTTGCAATCGGAGTCACTACTGGACCAGCTAGTGCAAGAGCATTGATGCCCCGCGTACTTCCTTCTCCTTCGCTATCGAGAGCTATGACACTTTCCGCATTGCTAACACTCGATCCGGCTCTTATGTCCGCTTTAACGTCTGATAGATTACTACTTCTATCGCTCTCTCGGTATCGTTCAGCGCTCGAATCAGTTTCTTCTGACAAACAATATCATTTATTTCACAAAAATTTATTCATCAAAATATAATTATTGCTTCTCAATAAATTAACTGATTACCACTTATTAACAATTCTTAAATTTAATGACTCAAATCTTTCAGCTGTAAACAAATTGTACTAATAGAGGCTCCGGATGTTAAAGGGGCACATATACCATTTAAAATCAATGCTGCATGTGCCCTTTTAAAATCCGGAGCCTCAATTAGCGTTTCTCAAAATTCTAAATCATTTTTTTTAAATAAGTTGCAAAAATTTTGATGTAACTTTCCTATTCGAAAATTTGTAACTTGGTAGTTGGAAGTATAATATTTTCATAACTATACATATAACAATTTCAAAATTAAATTGAACGCGGATGAATTATTTTTAGTTTTACAATTAAGAATATGACTTTTAAAGTACAATTGCTTTGCAATATGAAAATAGTGGAAAGAATTATTTTCCAGCATATTTTAAAGATGAAAAGTCATAATTATACCGGACAGAATAAACATTAGTTGAAAGCTGGAAATTTCGTCTTTACAAACACGCCAAGAAACACTAAAACTATTTAGTCAGCACCAAGTTAAGATAATATTTATAGTCATAATTTATGCCTTGCGTCTGGAAACGACGATTTCCAAGCATCTCGTTGCAAAAGTTGAACTTGTAGGGCTTTGCAAATTTAATCAAATCTTGGGAAAGACTAAATACTTTTCAGGTTTCTTGGCCTGTTTTTAAGACAAGATATCAAGCTTTATTACAAGTGAAGTTGATGTTTTTCTCAAATATATATTTAGAGGACATGGCTTCATCTCAAGCTCTTCTCTTCAAACAACCGACTTTACATTTACTGTAATGCAAAAATAAGTCCTGCAGAATTTTCTACTTTACATTTGCATATTTTTCAAAATGTAATTGTTTAAGAATTATTTACGTTAATTTTTTTTTTTTTTGAATCGCTATGGTATCATAATTGGTTGTAATTGAAGAAAGGAACGAAATTTATGACTTCCACATCCATGAAATAAATCAAATCACATATTTCATTTCGTGCTTCTATATCATTTCCATTTCGTTTCGTTTCATGCTTCTCTCTTCTATACAAATCAATGTGAATACTTCTGAATGATAAACAATAAAATAACATTTTTTCTGTGAGCTAAAGATTCACGTATCATTCATTATTTTATTTTTAATATCGTTATAGAGCAATTCTATAGGTAAGTGATCATGCAAATTTCCTTCTAGCATGAGATTTTAATGAAACTGTAGTTTAGTTTATTGATCTCTTGAATGCAACTAAAAAAAGTAGTGAAACTTTTTTGGAAAAGTATTCAAAAACATAAGAGATCACGGTACCCTGGAACCAATTTCAACCCTCAAGTTGCTTTCCTTCCAAAATTCTTGTTGCAACTTGTTCGGGGTAAATCAATGAATATTTTTTTAAATTTCAATTTTAGTGTTTTTAGCGACGAATTTAAAATAACTTGTTCAAAAAATTATTCAAAAACATAATTTTACATGAAATTTTCCGTAGAATCGAAATGTGACATTAGCTTGCGAAGGTCAATTGAATTTTTGAAAACCAACACCGAATTCGTAATTAGCGATCCCAAAAACACCAGAGTAACAAAATTTAGGCGAATTCAATAACATTTTGATATTTTGAAATATAGTGACCAAAACTTTCTTTAATATCAATAAAGTATCGAATAAATTTCATTTCAACAAATTTTTAATGGAAAGTGTATTTTTTATAAAATTTTAAAATAACTGACCTGAATATCTTCTAATAATAAAAAGTTATGCGGTTTCAAAGAAAAAATGCTACAAACTTTCAAAGTTGTACATCTCCTATTTTTATTAACTTTTTTCCAAAAAAGTTTCACTACTTTTTTAGTTGCATTCAAGAGAATAATATAAACCAGTTTCATTTAAATCCCATCCTAAAAGGAAACTTCCATAATCACTTAACATGGAACTGCTCTATAATTTTTTTAAAAATTGCTAGAAACGATTTACGATTTGAAGCAGACAGAAAGGATAATTTGTTGACTTATGTAATTTATGCAGAATAAAACATTAATTAAGCTACTTGTTCGTAATGTATTAATTAAAAGATACTTACGAATGTCATTATCTTGAGATTGGGCTAATCTGGGCCTGGGCTGCTTGATGCGGTCTCGGCAATGTAATATGAGGACGATTATGGTGCCAATCAGAATCACACACACGACGAGACCCACAACAATTAAAATAAGTTGCCAGTCAACTGGGATTAATGCTGAAAATAATTAACAATTAATTCATTTCCATGTGGTTTACGTATTGGGTTGTGATTTTTTAGAAGCTTCACACTATCGAAGCATGATTTTTAGAATTGACCGAATTTGACTAAAACTTTTTGCTTTAGGAGCAATTTTTAGCAAAAGACGCTGCCAGACATTTCAATTTAAATTTTTATTTATTTTTTTTAAACCCTTCTTACAATCGCGAGCTACACTCACCTACTGACATAAAATATTTGGTTTTTTGATGAAGCAGTCAAAAAATATGTACCACTGAAAAAGTACTTTTTTGGGAGGGGTCTTTAAGAACTTGTTGTTACGGGCCTGACTTTTAATACTTTTTAACGAAAATTTTACGAGTTACTCATTTAATAGTGTACTTTAAGATTTGAAAGTACTTAGATAAAAAAAGTTATTTATCTTTTAAAAAAAGTTTATTAAAAAAGCGTACGTTTTCTGCCGGTTTTGACCCATTTAACCTTAGAGGGCCGGGGTCGCCACCATTTATTTTGAAGAATGTTTTTTATCGAATTGACTTTTTATTTATAAATTTTTTCAAATAAAAAACTACTAAAATTTGTTCAAATTTAGCGGCCCTCTGAAGGTTAACATGATAAGTAAGAAGAAACATACGCAAAACAGAAATGCTAGAATCAATTGGTAGTTTCAAAAATTTAGCTAAACCACTTTGTATTTCAGTGAAAAACCAAAATTCAATTTTAGTATTTAGATAGCTGGTTTAAGAATAGATAAAATTCAGTAAACGGTCTAGAGATTTTCATTGAACTATAATGTATAAGAATCACTATCCCTAGTATTTTTCTTGATGAAACTGATTTAGAATATTTCTTCCAAGCTTTAGCTGTAGAGGATCTGAAGGGCATCTTAAACCCTGCCTCGCCCATGAAAAAAGTTGAACCTAATCTACTTTTAATTGGGAACAATCCAAAGTTTCCTCTAACAAGAACTGTATAACACCTAAGTTTTAATCCATTGTATCTGCCGTCCAGTTAACTCGAAAATAGACGTCTACTTAGAGACCTATCTTTCTCCAGAAGTCCAGTAATTCCCTTACTGATAGGTCATAGTTAATCCGCTCTAGATTTCATCATCTGATCAAATGTCAGGGTGACACTTGACTATCTATTTTGTACAGATAACAGTTTAGAAGACTGAAAGCTGTAATCTGAGCTCTAATTTTCTTGAGTTTTTACAAGTTTTTGCTTTTCGATGAATTTTCACAACCTAACCGAATCGTTCAAAGATTTTCGGGCGTCAATTGACTAATTGATACATGCGGGCAATGAGAATTCTTTCTTTTAAGATGAGTTCAGAATGAGCTTGAATAGAATAGATTTCTCATCGAAAACCGTGACGCATTGACTTAATTTAACAAAAATCTCTACTCTGAACTTTCTTTACTTAATATAGAAGGGAAAGATACTTTCATTTTGAATTGGAATTTCACGTCATACAATTAATATTGAATTAATTAATACGAATCTGCAAATAGTAGATTCGTTTTCAGTGTCACTAAAATTTTTAAGCAATAAGCTTATAGGAAATGCGACCAAATCCATAAAAAGTATTATAGAATAATTTTAAGGTTTAGAAATTCAAAAAGCTGCTTATTAGGAGAGCGCCGAGTTTTAACTTTATCGACTTTGGATGCCGATTAGAATATAGATTAGAATATATAACGTTCTTTGCAATGAATTCATATTCGAATATAAAAAGTATTTTACTTAAAATTCAAATCCTTTCCAAATTTCATCTAACATCTAACAATAATAAACTTACTGTGAGTGGTGAGTTTAATAATTGCGGAATCCGAACCGTAACTATTAGTAACTGTACAGTTATAATTTCCAAAATACGCAGTAGTTGGTTCCAGAAGAACAATAGTACTGATAACTCTCTCTGAAGAAAACTCTTCTTGAATAGTGAATAGTGTGCTATTAGGGGAAGAGTTCAACTCTTGCCCACTGAATTTCCATGAGACTGCTTCGGCTTTCGGCACAGATATCGCGACACATTTCACCTGAAAAAATGCCAAATGTTTATTATAACAAGCAGAAGTTATTATATCCCTGAAAAAAGACGAAAGCGAATAGGCGATTGAAGACTAACCTTAATAATTCCCTCGTCCGGAACGTACTGCGTCTTTTGAGAGATAATCTTGGGCGGGGCACGAATGTAGATACTAGCAAAACCAGTTAGTTCAGCAAAACCAGGTACATGAGCTTTACAAAAATACTTTCCAGCTGTTTCTGGTGTGACGAGAATGCTTATGTTTGAACTTGTTGCAACAACTCTTTCGGATTCCTCATGAACCCACAAGATTTCGGGCGACGGATTGCCATCTACATCACATTGCAGAACTTCCGTTGAACCGTAGTGTGTTTCAACGGAACTCGGTGGATGTCGAAATTGGGGACCATCTGAAATAAGTGAAAAACAATCAAACAATCAATTAGAAACTCTGTGCTATAATATAAATAATAGTTTTGTGTGTGCTTTTCAACGTACATGTAACATCAAGAGTTTCGGTTTCTTCGCTCTTTCCAACGTCATTGTGCACTTCACATTTTACTATAGCATCATGAAGTTCACGTGTCACATTATGAATTATCATTTCCGTTGTATAATCTCCAATTACTTTCTTATCATTAATGTACCACCTGAAAATTACAAAACATTATTTAAATAACAAATTTAGATCCTAAATAATGACAGGAAAGAATTTACAACTTAAATATTGAAGAATTGAAATTTCACTTGTCCCTCCTCTCAATTACATATATTCAAATTGAGCAATTCAACGTGAACTGATTCGATCAAAAAAATTAGATTTAGAAGGGTATTGTTTTATTCAAAATTGACATAACTTCTAGAAGATTGCAGGACAAAACTTACAATCCAAAAAATCCAGACCTAAAAATCCATAAGAAAATAAGTCTAAAATACAAAAAATCCAAAATAAGTATAATGAAACATGTGAAAAAGACACGTTTTTACTTTTTACGCTATAAAATCGGAATTTAAAATGTTAATGTTAAAATCGCAGGATTTTAATTATTTACATTTATAATAATAAAATCCAACACAAACATTAAATTATTTTTATAAATAAAAAAATTTCAATTATTCTATAAGATTTTTAAAACAATTATTCCAAGAAATACATATTTTATTTTCAAAAATTTTGATAAAGTTCTTTACAAAAATTCAATTATTTTTTTCAATATAATTTAAAATGTTAAGTTTCCCTGTTTTCGATTCATATAGTCATCGAAATGAGCAACTCAAAAAAAGGACAATTTCATTCAAGGCAACGATTTAAATTTTTATATCTCAATTTTTTTATTGGATTTTTAATTTCTTTGAATTTTTTGACCGGGCCAAAAAATCCAAAAAATAAGTCCTAAGTGAAACTATTTTTTTTACTTTTTTGGATTTCATTTACTTTGGATTTTTTGGCTTGGACTTTTTGTTTTTGATTTTCTGTCCGGATAGCCTTCTAGAAAAATTAAGCTATATAGTAAGTTTTAAAGAATTTTCTTATTACTTTTCAAATACAAAACTTTTTTTTTAAAAAATAAAAATTATTTTTCCATGTTTACAGAAACTACCTCTTTTTTTTATTTTTTTAATCATTTTTATTGCAAAGCTGAGATTTTTTCCATAGCAAATTATGTGAAGTTAAAGAGTGGACCAACAATGGGTTTCAATAAATTAAAGAAAAAGTGTTAAAAAATTTTTTTTTTTATTTTCTTGAAAACTCATTGTTTTTTTTTTTTAATTTTCATAATTTTTTGGAAAAAATCTCAGCTTTCCAATGAAAATGATAAAATATTTTTAAAAAAGTAGTTTTTTGAGAAAATTTAAAAATAAGGTTTATTTTTGAAAAAAAAGTTTTTGAATTGAATTACGCAATTAATTTCTATAAAAGTTAATATTTTTGGATTTTATTACTTTTATACAGAACAGGGTTGCTACAGACCTGGAAAAGCGGGAAAACTTGGAATTTTCAGGGAATTTTATAAAAGCTCGTTCTGAAAATTCAATTTTTTTGTATTTGAATAATAAAAATCCATGACTTTCCCAGGTTTTACAGACTATTTTTAAAAAAATCCCTGACTCAAAAAAAATTGTTTTGATTAATTTTTAGCTACTTACGACAAAAAATATAATAATTATTAAGCCATTTCCAGAAAATTAAAATTGTTACTTGACGTTTCACGTGGAATTGCTCAAATGTCAGTGAAGAAAATAAACAATAAATTGTGCCCGGAAAGAAATGCACTATTTGTTGGCATCTATATAAATATTGTTGTTTTATCCAATTAAATGAAAGAAAAAGTTTTTCGTATGGAAACAGTTTCAAAAAACTATTCGAAACTTTTTTTTATTTAGAATGTATGTTTCATTTTGATTTGGCTAAAAGAGAAAGTTGTAAACAAGAAATGTGTATCCTTGTGCGATTAGATAAATTAATCAGTGAAATTCTTCCAGTGCTCACTATCATGGAAACTATTATCTAAGATGCTGATAAATCATAGCTCTAAATAAATAAAAATAATCCATATTCTCTAAATTATGTTTTTGATACTTCTACTTGAATTTCTGTAACTTGTCAAATTTTATCCATATACCAAGATGTGCCAACCATTGAATTATTCGTTTTGCAATTTGGAAGAGTATTAAAGTACGAAATTCGTAATTTTTAACTTAAATTTAATCGTAATCTTATCAGCGACCCAAAACATAAATATGCAAATACAAAATGTCACTCACCTGTACTCCATACTCGACGGATTTGCCTCTGCTCTACATTTAAACCTAAGTTCAGATCCCTCGATAATTTTATTGTTTTTTGACATGCCAGAGCGTATTTTCAATGAAACTTTTGGGGCATATCGCACCTAGTGAGAAAGAAAATCAATTGTTTCATAGGTATATTTTAAAATCTAGGTACAATCAAGAACTTCTTTATATAGTTCGTAAACGAATTAAAACTGATTCTATACACAAGTTATTTGATTTTGATAGCATTCTCAATGTGAAGATTCACCTCATTCTTCCCAACCAATAAAATTTAACAAATGTTCAAGAGATTATTTTACTAGTTTGGAAACGATAATAAACTCTTGTTAATAGCTCATATTTCTTACATGAAATAACAAATAATCTCCAGAATAACGCATTATAAAATATTTTTCATTCACAGCTTAATATTAAGTTAATATCGGAGTGTAATATTGCAGTATCACAGTATAACCTTTTACTGCAGTAAATAAATAAACCTTACACTGTAAATACACGGAAAGACGTTTTATTTCAGAATTTACCTGGACTATTGGATGTCTGCTACAAAATATTAATAATGTTACAGGGAATATGTTAGCTTACTATTACATTCTTTTCCTTTTGCTGTTACATTTTACCAGCGACTCTATTAATATTTTGTAGCAAATATCGAATGGCTTAAGTATGAAAATCTGTTTGTTAAATTTTAAAATAAAATTTCTTTTCGTGTATAGTAATGTAGAAGGAGTTTTTTTAAGTTAATGCATAAAATAGCTTGTAACATTATCATTTTTGGTCCAAACTCAATGATTTTTTTTCATTTTATACCTGGAAAAAGGAGCTTTTTAACCCTTATATGTGTTTTTTCTACAGTTAAAAATTAGGGCAGAAGAATTGAAAAAGAGATAGAAAATTTTCAATGTTTAATTAATTTTTCAACTTTAAATCCAATTATCAGCCCCAATTTTAGATAAAATATTTTTTCTGATAAGGGTTTTAAAGAGTATTTAATTGTCTCAACGTCAACCACTAAAGATTAATTTCTTCATAGTTATCTAAAAATGGAAAGAATTGAAAAAAGTTTTCAAGGGAAATGTGCATTCAGCTTACAATCAGAATATTACTGTTCTCTAAAAAGTGATATTTCTGATTCCATGTATACAAAAAAAGTCAATTAATCGTTTTTAATTAAGGATTTTTAGCAATTTAAATTTAAAAACTTTTTCTTTTCTATTTTATTTCAAAACTTGTTGAAATTCAAAATTTAATTCGACGGTATCACGTCTTTATTTTTGAATCGCAAATTTAAATTTTTAAATTTTTATCAAAGACTTGAATTAAACAATAATTTAAATTTATTTATAAATGTAGACCTTTGTATTTTACGAAAAATGATTTTCGTATATATTTATTTAAAATAAACACCTTTACTGAATTGCAAGTAGAACTAAAAATTTGTTGAAAATCAAAACAAAAATTGCAATATCTCTACTACTTTTTAACAAATCCAATTCCAAACAGTTGCATTCAACTCAGAATTAAATACTCTTCAAAACCCTTAATGAGTGACTCCACGTCAAAAATATCACAATCTGCAAATGGTTCTTCAAATTTGATGAAACTTAGGAAAATTATAACATATTTTTATCTTGTAATTCCTCATAGCGACCTGCGCAATCGTTTATTGAAATCTGAATATAATTCTCTGGACAAAAAATTCAGTTCTGTGGTGAGAGGAAGTGTATACTTTTCTCATAATATTTTCGTCTAATTGTTGCGTGTAAGTTGGTCACTAATTTCGACATCAAGATACACATGCAAAAATGTCAAATCTTTCTTTTTTTACTTGCCTCAAATAAAAGGTTGAAGCATTGGCTAAATTGTCTAATGTGAAAAGCAAGGTTATAAATTAAGGAAAATTGCAGTACAAATATAAATAATACAGAATAATAAACAATATTTTATTGTATGTTCATAAAATTTTGGTAATAAAAAAGTTTTCAAAATAACAATAAAAATAAGTTACGTTATTCCTTTAAAGGCCAGCTGTAAAGCAAGGTTGGCTAGAATTGTCAGTAGTAATTAAGAAAGATTGTGCCAACTTATACGCATCGAAATATCCACAACTTACTAAATTTGCAGTGCTTTTCGAATTTCCAACAATTTCCAACAATTTCCAACTGTAACTTTTGTCACAGTTTTTCATTCAGAAACAAGTTTTAGAAAATAACAAGGTTTTCTTTGGCTGAGTGATTTTGAAATTGAATACATTGAAAATCACATAAATATAAAAAATAACCAAAATATGTCCAATTTGTGAAATGTAAAGAAAAAGTAAATTTTCTTTAAATTTCTCTTTGAAAATCGTTAATTAAAGCATTAAAGTAGATAACTACAATTGAAGCAGCATTTTTTTCACGCATGCTAAAAATTGAACTCTGACTATAATATCAGACGCACGAACCCTGAGAAAGACCCACAAAGTGATTGGACGGTCACGAATGGGAAGGGGAAATTTTACCCCATCCAGCATACCGAGTCGAGTGATCGTCCAATCGCTCCACAGGGTCTTTCTCAGGGTTCGTGCATCTGATATAGTCAAAGAGTTTAATTTTTCTAATGCGTGAAAAATGCAGTTTTTGTGTTCATTCTCTTTTAATATTTGTTTTAATATTTGTAGTGATTCACAAATGACTCATTTTGACTCCAGAGTGAATTATGATGATTCCTAATTTTTTTGTTTACTTTTCACAGCTTTGACATCCTTAAAATTAAAATAATTAAAACTATCACAGCAAGTTTAAGATTTTTTGGCGGTAGATAATAATTGCGCAGGTCATAGAACAATTTCTTTAGACATACACTGATAACCAACTTATGAAAATAAAAGGGATTTTAGACTGGAGATAAATTTACCGAAAGTATCCTGCAAATGTGAATGCTAAAAGCAAGTAACTAACCTCTACTCTAAGCTTAGCGTTTTGTGGAGTGCGATCCGCTGCGTTTTGACTTTGGCAAGTGAAGGTTGTGTTGTCATGCTCCTTTCGTGGCGTCACTGTTAAAACAGACCTTACAGTCGACAACGGACCATCTTGGTACTGTTCGCACTTGGTTTGAATTCCATTGTGCAATACGTTTCCTAGCCCGTCGATCCAAGTGATCTGAAAGTAACAAGTCATTCTGTAGTAGCAATATCACTCTTTTAGTCTTTTCACTTCATACCAATTTCTAAAAACAATATTTTGCTTCGACTTTAATGGAGAAAATTGGCTTAAAATTCACCTCTGCTGGTGGCTTTCCCGCGCGACTAATGCATTCTATCGTCAATTCTCTGTCTTCCGTCGTGACAAGAAATGAACCCTGAAGAATTTCAGGCTTCTGCGGAGGAACTAGAACACTGAGTCGAGCATCTCTTGATCTGAGCCCCGGTTGCCCGTCATTGGTGGGCGAGGCTTGGCACTGGTATATTCCGTCGTCTTCCAATTCAACTGGATATATGTGTAAAGAAAAGTCACCTGCAATCAAGGGAAACACTAATTGTAAACCTCGAGCAAATTGGCTAAACTCTTTATCGCCTGAAACGAACATCAAGTAATTTAGAATAAAAATTGTACAGGGAAAAGATGTCTCTTCTTCTTAGATTTTTCAGACTTATTGTAACCCAACTGTCGAAATTATTCATACACGGAAAAGTTTTTGAGCGAGTCGCTTAAACTATGGTAAAGAGATATTCCCAATTTCCGTGTAAGAAAAGAATAAAGCATGCACAAAATTTCAAGCTGCAACATATTTGGACCAAATTGCCAATATTCCAAATACTTAGCAAGTAACTCTTCTCCAAAAAAAGTTGATTTCAGAAAAAAATAAGTACATGTTTTTCCATAGTATTTTGACATTTTCGTTGTTTCATTGCAATCGGCGAGTATCACTTAGGATTAACAAATACAATGTTAAAGCAACGTGTCTATGATTCAAGTCATTTGTTACTCTGATGGTGAGCTTGAAATCAGCCTACTACTGAGACCCATTGCTATAACTGTGAGTTGGAAACATGAGAGCACTGGTAATTATCCCAAAACCTTAGGTTAGGATTTCAAGGTTCTTATTGCACACGTCATTTCTTTAAAAACCTTGACCTTTAGTCTTAATTCTTAGGCTTAGAATTTGTTGGTCAACTATAATTGAGCCCCTGGATACTATAAGTGCCGCTGAGCGCGGTTGCAAAGGATAATATCAGTCAGGTCGTTCACTGCTACCTGACTGATATTATCCCTTGCAACCGTGCGCAGCGGCACTTGTAGTATCCAGGGGCTCAATTGGTTAACTAAAGTTCCCAGGTCAATTCCATCGTCCTACATCATAGTTTGGATCACACCTTAGATAAGCTATTGTGTCTTTAGGAAAAACTTTTTCAAATCTAAATTAAAAGCTTACCAAGTGTCATTTGACATAAAAATGAAAGTCGACAGATTGATCTGATGAGTTTTAACATTCAGGCAACTTCATTTCGGGCAGCAGCTTTTTGGTTTAAGTTTCTTTAAAACCCGTGAGACAATTGATTATCGCAGATACTCAACTGCAATCTGCAGTTCGTTCTTAGCCCTGTGAGAAGGATGGACCTTCAAGTCATCATTTTACGAAACTCAGTCAGGGGTGGTCCATGAACTACGTTACCAATTTTTGATACTTTTTGGACCCTCCTCATTACCATTGCGTTAAATGCACTTTTATAGATTTGTGGACACCTCCCCCTAAATTGGTAACGTAGTTTATGGATGACCCCTTCAATACTTGTAGGTTTACGACCCAACCTATGTTCCGTAGTATGGCCTTACCAGATGCGTCCCAGTGAATACATCAAAACAGAAACTGCTTTTATGTATTCACTGAGATTCACTTATAACCATAATAACCATAATAATGTTATCCCATGGTTAAAACCAGAGCCTGTAATATTTGTGGAACAGTTTTGGATTGTAATATCCAAAACTTATTAATTCCTGGTAGCGGTAAAAAATGTTGATTCAGCTTTATTTTGACATACTCAGAACTATTCTTTCGATAAAACCCATAAGGGTTCTGTTTTTCTTTAAGCTTATGGTGGCCGTTGAAATTCGAAGAAAAAATTCAAGGCTTATTCAAAGTTCTTTCCCGGTTTCAAGAAATTTTCAAGACTTTATGAGTATTTTTTGTACGAAAATGTAAAGGACCTCACACCTTTCACATTGAACTTGGCTTTCAGCCAACTTTTTTGTAACTTTGCAGATTTGTAGTTTAAGGTATCCTGGACAAAAAAATGTATATGGAAAGCTTTTAAAAAATGACCAGTTCTTGAACTACCATACATCAAAAGCTCAAGAATGATGAATTAATGTTTTCATTTTTTTGATAGTTTTGGTGTTAGGCATAAATCAAATTCTTTTAAAAATTATTCCTAAAACGGTTTATCAAATTTTTTATCATGATTTAAAAGATAAATATTAAAACAAATAACATGGCATGTTGAGATTAAATATTATATTTTTTTAAAATTAAATAAGGATTTTCAAGGATACAGACTTATTTTACAGAGTTTAAAGTATATTTAAGAAAATTCTTCAATTTGATTAGATGAACAGTTCAAAATTGGTTGAGCTTTAAAAAATGATCTAAAAAAGAGGTGTGTTCTTCGAGGGTTAAGGGTTAAAACAACCGTAATAAAAAATTACGATTAAAGGAAGAATCATCTAATTCAAGGTTTTTTCAAGGTAGGACAAAATTTTTCATCTACTTTAATATACCCTTAAGTGTAAAGAACTGCTTTTCGTTAGGTACAGTTAAAAATTTTTAAAAAATTTTCTAAATCGTATTTTATTGGGCTAAAGTGATGTAAAGTACACTTTTTTATATTCCTTTAGGGATTCAAATAATCACCAAAAATTCACACTCTTTACGAATATAAAATTATATTTCTTTTTAGTTTTTGTAATAAAAATTCCTTTTTGCTTCCCCTCAAATTTCTCTCATTTTTGGGCAAAATATTATTTTGACCTGATTGTCTCATTTGTACCGACAACTTTGACGGCATTGCATAATAGACGCGTGTGCGTGACCGACCCTCCAAATGATTTTAATGTAATAGAATATTTGAACGTGCGTACTCTTAGGCTACATTACACTAATGAAAATTGAAGTTTAAAATTTGTAATTTAATTAATAAATTAAATTAAATTCCTATTTAATATTATTTTACTGCTCCCTTAATAGTATCCTGATACTCAGGATATCCTAATTTCGGAATACGCTAGGACGTTCGTAGGATATCCTGAAATATCCGTTGCTGTTAGGGTCTGAATAATAAAATTTCGTTTCTACAGTCTTCTATTGGAATTTTTCAAGCTTGAGGTCAGAAAAGTGTATTTTTTTGATTGGATTACAAGTTTTGAAAGAAATGTTAAGACATTAATTAAAATATCTGGCAAAAACGTACCTTCTTCATCACTCCCAACCATAGCGTATCGTTCATATCCCGTAAGGTTTCTTACAGCTCCCAGACCAAAACCGTCCTTTGTCCATTGAATGGGTCCTTTCTGATCGAGCACTCTGCAAGGCAGAGTCACTCGACTTCCAATGACGGCAGTTTGATCCATTGGCTCAATGGCAAAACGTTGATAAACTGCTTCGGTTGTTGTAATTGGTTTGTACGAAGAAATAGAAAAAATTATGGAATCATTTGGAGTCGAGGTCACGGTTGCTTTAATTTCCCTCGTTGCAACCGACAGCCAACACCAAATTAAAATGAGCCTCACGCTTATATTTCCATCCGACTTAATCCTGGAAATAAAAAGGAAAATAATTAGCTCCTCAAAAGAAGCAGGTTGTAATGTGCACAATTATATGTGTGCTTGTGTTCGGCTATAGTAATATAACAAGGTATTTCTCTTGTAACACAATTTATTGCCACTTAACCCAATTAACATTCAACTGCAATCCAAAGACCCTACCTCCGGAAAAATTTTATTCGAGAGTTCGCAACTATAGTTCAATCGCGGTAAAAAGACATCAATGCAATTGTCTTGTTAACTTTATATCCAAAGACATTGTAGATAAAACTTATTAAAATTTAACAACATTTATTTGGATTAATATCCATTTATTTCGAGTTAAATAATTACAATTTTATTTCTTCCAAATATCCATTTTATTTGGCTAAAAAAATTTATTCGTAACAAATAAATTTTTATTTCCCCGTAGAAGACAAATATATTTATTCTCTGCGTTTACTTTTCTGTTCATCGATGACATAAGTTTTCTCTCGTTTTGTAAAAACTTTCAAATAACGACAACAAGTATTGATGTAATAATATTTTTATTCCTTTTTAATGTATTATACTTTTCCAAGTTTTTTTCTTATATTTACAGTGTAATAATTTTAAAGTTCAGAACTTTGCAAAAGGGGAAAAAATAATAATATTGTCTAAATTTCTTTTATCTGAAAGACGTTATTGCTGAGAAAAAAAATTTCTTCATTTTCTCCTCAAACGCGAGTAAAACATCACTTTGCAACATAAAAATTTATTATAAAACATAAATTTTACTTCCAATTTTTTAAACTTTGTTAACTTTGCCTAGTGACACGTCTAATAAAGGTAAACAAAATTTTTACTTCATTAATAATTAAGATTATGTTTCAATTTCAACTGCAATAAAAAGGAATGAAATTTTTTCCGATATCTCGCTGGAGAATAAAAAAGTTGTAGGTACGAAAACAGGATTGTTTGAAATTAAAAATTTCCAATACTTTTTAATGCAAGGCTCAGGTCTTAAATAAGAAATATGTACCGAGTAAAAACAAAATCTTAAACCATTTGCATATATAGTTTAGCCCATCTATAGCAAGCGCATAAGTCTGCCCTTGTCCAACGGAGCAGACTTCATTTACATACATGACGGATTCAGTCCTGAAACTTACTTTGCAACATTGCAAATGTTTTATTTCAGTTTACCTTTTTATTAATTTTTATAAAGTAATCTTCGTTTAATGACATTTTTTTAAAGTCAGCAGGGGCGTAGCCATAAATATATATTTCGGTGGGGGGTTTATGGAAATTGATCAGAGGTGCACTCAGAAGAAAATTAGCATAAATGTATTTTCCAAGATTTCAGAGGAGGTTTGAACCTCAAACCCCCTTTCCCTGGCTACGCCCCTGAAAGTCAGTAATAAAAGATTTTAAAAAACTAATCAGTCCGATAAAATATTGACAAATGGCAGAATCATGATCCGAACAATACTTTTTCAAAGGTTTTTTCCCCCAAAATTTCTCAGGTAATTATACCAAAAATGTTTTGAAAGCATAATTTACCAAGAATTTGTAGTTTGGAATACACAATAATTTTTGAAAAAATACCCATTATGTTTTATAGGTAAGAATCTACAATATTTTTGGTAATTTTACCTAGAATATTTTGAAAAAAAAACTATACTTAAAAATTTTTGGGTTAAAATAAACGCAATATCTTTTTTTGACAGAAAAAAACACCTTAAAATATAAACAATTATTCTAATATTTGTTCAGAAATAGTGAGGTTATTTTTTGTTTTATCACAAACAAAACATTTGTGTTTTATGTAGGGGAGACTAGGTGCGGTTGCTGCAATATGTTTAAAAATTATATGCAAGCTTTACAAGTAAAAAAATAGGCACATTGGTTTTTAGAGGCCAAAAGTAATAAATATTTCTCTGGTTGATATTTTTTAAATAACTAATAGACTTTAATATCAATTCTCTGAGGATTTAGCTTTAACAAACTGCCTTGGTTGTCCACATTTAGTGTATATTTTTTTAATAAAGTGATTTATTGTAAAAAATGTACCTGTTGTGCAGTTGTTACAAGTGATGATGAGAACGAATATTTTTTTTTAAAAATTCGAAACAATATTAGTGCTGCCACCTCTATGACACTGTCACGCACTATTACGTTGAGTCAAAAATTATGAAATTATTTGTTTTTAATTTAGAAATTTTATAGATGATTTTTGGTATTGTAACAACCGACATTCACTTTGTGCAGTTGTTACAATTTACACGCTGTCACTCAAATGCTTGTAGTTAATTAAATAATAGATATAGAGCTAAATCAATTATGGCCTTTTCAAACTAGATAATATACCTATTTGACTTAATGGTATGACCAAACAAATTGGAGTTAAACTCTGATCACTGTAACTGTTTTTATCAAAATTGTAACAACTGCACCTAGTCTCCCCTACATAACTACTTTCCAAGAATTGAAAAAATTATTTTTATTTTATAATAGACATTGAAAGTTACTAGTGAACCTCTCAGGTTGGTAGCGGTGTTCATAAGTACTATACTGGTGGGATTAACCTGTGCTTTAAAGTACGATTTCCCCTTCCTTTAAACACAAGTGCTTAAAAGACAGAAACTTGGTCGAGTTTTTGACGCAGCATTTATAGAAAGTGAATTTATCATTTATTTTCAGTGGAATTTCACTTACCATTATTGAATGAAAAATCGATTTATAATTCGTGGAATTTCAAAAATTAGAAGTTAATATTCAGATTTTTGAGTTCCTAAGGTCGGAAAACATCGAACTCAATAAAAAAATCACAATAGAAAATTTGAACTAAAACAAAGCATCCTAGTGCAAAATTTGAAACTCTTAAATTATTATTAGAGATGATAGTTATATAGAAGAATAAATTAAAAAGACGTAGTAAAAGAAAGAGTATACAATTTATTATTTAATAATTAATATTCTGCTCCATACAATTATTAGATGTAGCGAGACTAATAACGTGTAGTAGCCATTTTTTCGACTACTAACCATTTTGAAATAACAAGAGATTCAGAAAAGTTGCATAACAGTTTGGTACAATGTGGACTGCAGTAAATATGAGAGGTATATTCATATTGTATTTCTAGGGAAGCTATACGGTCGAGAAATCTTCTAAATAAAATGCCATTGATTTTATAAGTAAAGAAGAAAGATATTTCATTACTATTGACTATTCTGGGCAATAATAGTATTGCGATTGCAGGGGCAGCGTCTTTCGCATAAAAAGTGAGTGAGAGCAATCGATTGGCTTTGATTTGCAGAAATTTCGAAATGAGCTGAAATATTGATAAGCGAGATGTTTGTAGTAAAATGTTGATTTAAATTGTGTTGTGTGCGTACATGGGCATGGGTATAAAGTTGGCGAACGATGCGCGAGTGCAAAGAGTAGAGTGTAGACGAACGTCGTGGAGCGCAGATATATAGCTTCAACGTTAGTTGTGCCGCAGTGGTATCGAGCGGCCACCCTACCTTTCCCTTCTTCAGCCACCCACACCTCCGCGACTACCCTTCGGTGACCTGACTCAACCCTTGTTCGCCTCAATGCTTTTATGCGTTCATTCCGCCGCTTTTTTCTCTAGGTTGCATACTTACAAAAATTTCCCTTTAGAAACTTCAAATTTAATACTCTGAGAACTACCTTTCTATGGCAACCGTTCGGTTCTATCCAACTAATATCAAACAACACAAGTAGCGCAGAAAAAAACCATTTATTTTATACTCCTCCTGACTCACTTTTTGCTCTTAATTGTCCTCTCTCTAAACTTGAATCTCATTTTTCCAATCTCAATGTGTCAAATTTCACATGTCAATTTTCTCATTGGCTATTAATAAAATGTTTGCGATATTTATTGTTACATGCAGAAATTTGGAGTTTTAATTTCTTAAACAGAATACTAAGTGGAACAATAGCTAGCTTTTCATTTCTGTATAGATACCATATTAATAACAACACTGCGAAAAGAAGTATCTTAATTTCAGATATTTTGAAAGTCACTCTTTAGTTATTTGAAAAATCTTAAATCTTAATCTTAGTTTAAGATCACAGAAAGTTGTATTGAAAAAACCTGCAACTTTTTGATCCACATCAATTATTAAAATAATTTGTCGAAGGGTTATTTTTTCAAAATGGCTACAAATGATTTGGTTTTGATTTAGAAACAAATTTTCGTCATATTAATTTAAAAGTGGACTACTTAAATTTTTTGTGTGTAAATTTAAGCTACAACGCTTCTTTATACCTCATAATTTACTCTGATGTTAAAAGTATCTTCATAAAAGTAGTTTATATATTTTCATCACATATTTTAGGGAAATAAATATTCAAGTTAATTTTCAAGTTTCATTTTTTAAGTTAATGAGTAAATTATGTATGTAAATCATTTTATATATCACTGAGAACTTAAAAGTATCAAATTGCAACAAATTGATATCAAATATATGAATTCAAATTTTTGTCATTCATTTGATCCACTTTAGTATCAATTTAATACTCTCAAGAAAACTGAGCATATTAGTTAATTAGAAAATATTTTATACCTGTTTTTTTATATCGACCCAAAATCATTTTCAGGGGTAGAAACCACCCTTAACAATTTTTGGGGATGAGTTTGATTAATATGCGAATAATTCAAACGATTATTCTTTAAAAAGTTCAAAATGTCGGATCCAATATTGCGGTTTAATAAAAAAATTTTTTTTATTATTTGATAATTTGTTTCTAAAGTGATGGAATTTTATAAATCTTTGTATCAAAGTCTATTTTCAAAAATTTTAAATGGCGAATACATAGACGGATTAATTTTGATACTTTTTTAATTTTTCTGTCGTATAATATAATTTCAGACACTGAAATATGTTTTAAAAAACATTAAAAGTTTAGCTTCTTTCATATTTTTTATTAATTTTGATTGGCAAATTTTTTATAGTTTTCTTTTATGATTCTGAATAATCAATCGTATGGAAATTGAAAAATAT